GAATAAAGCCCTACAAGGCGGCTTACACCTCACATCCTTCAGCCACACTGGCCACCGGGACACCCACTCCCCCTGCCCGTGGCTTCAGGGCTCTCCTTTCAGACGTGCAGCCCCTGCTCCCGCCCTCTCAGCCGGCCTCTGACCCTCCTACCCGCACTGCCCTCCGCAGCCCCCCCCATCCTCTTCCCGCATCTTACAGGTGAACTGTGTCCCCAGAAAGATAAAACTAAGTCCTAACCCCCGGTATCAGTGAATGTGACCTTATTAGGCTGCAGGATCTTTGCAGACATCATCAATTAGGATGAGACCATTAGAACCAAAAATCTAATCCAAAATGTCAGTGTCCTTAGAAGAAGAGGCCCACACACAGTGGAAGATGCCAGACGAAGACACAGAGCGACAGGATGGCCATGTGCAGTGATTAGGTGATTAGCAGAGATTGGGGTGACGTGGCTGCAAGCCAAGGAACGCTACGGATCACCGGCCATAGCCAAAGCTCAGCAGAGGCAAGGAAGGCTTTGACCCAGGGTCTCAGGGGCGGCGTGGCCCTGCTGGCACCCTGATTTCAGACATCCAGCCCCGAGAATCGGGTGAGGATGAACTTGGAGTATCTTGGTTCATGCTCTGGTACAGCAATTCTAGGAAACTAAAACACCCCGATCGCAGATTCTTCGCATCCACTGTCGGCTCCTGAAATGTTACCTTTTCTTGATGACTCGTCCTCTCCATCAGACAAGGAGCCCCTCTAGGTGAAGGTTTCACAGCCTTGCCCAGGGACAGCCATCCGTCCCTGAGCGCCCCCCGCGGCCCCGGCCAGCACACTGCGCCGTCTCTCTGTTGCCCCCAGCTTCGCTCTTTCCCCCCTGACCTCAACGAGTTTATTCCACCAGAGAAACAGATCCATAAATAAACACCCAAAAGAATGATTTTAATAGAAAGGTGTACGTCACACTGCCATATTTATAACGGATAACCAACGAGGTCCTACTGCGCAGCACAGGGAACGCTGCTCAATGTTATGTGGCAGCCTGGCTGGGAGGGGCGTTCGGGGGCGAATGGATACGTGGATGGATACGTGGATGGAGTTCCCTTGCTGTCCGCCTGAAGCTATCACAACATTGCTAATCGACTATACCCTAATACAAAATAAAAAGTTTTTTTTTTAGAAAGAAAGGTGTACAAAGTGTGAGGAATGTCTATTCACTTAAGAGTCATGATGAAGAAAATTAAACTTATCTCTTTTTTATCTCTAAGTATCAGAGATGATTTTGGATGTTGAACGTGTAGGCTAAGATCCTAAATGCTTCGAAACATTCATTATTTGCACTCATAAACAATGAGAGCTTTTATGATTCTTTTTTCATTATAAGGCTTTTTGAACTAGATTTTACTCTTTTCCCAAGGAATAAACTGAGTCACAAAAGTGATAGAGTCCTGGTTAGATAATCATTGTCCATGTTGGTCCCCTAACTTTCTTAGAGATTTGGCTGTACTGCCCTCACATTATAAAGAATCTCTTTAGTTTTCCCAGAAAGAGGATCTTCACAGGACCAAAAATAAACCCACATTAGACTGAAGATCTAATTAGAATCGATCAAGGGTCTGGCATGAGATTGACAAAACTGCATATTTTTTTATAATATTTATACTTCATTATTTTCTCCCAACATTGGATAAGATATGCAGATATCAAAAGTTGCTAAGTACCTGTGATTCTGTACTCTTTAATGTAAAATAGCAGCACCATATCAATAAACACCATGGCACATACTCCATACAAATACTGAAAATTGGGTGCCGTGAGCCACATCTAGCTCTCAGTAAAATCCCAGGGCTGTCATCTAACTGTTTCATGCTTCACGCTCGATGTTACAAAAGGGACATGCCCTTCCAGCTCCTAGTCTTCATGAGAAGAAATAACATTACTTCTAAAAACTTAAAGTGTTTAAAAAGTTTATTATTATTTTTTAAGGTCTATTGGATTAGTTACAATATTGCTGCTGTTTTATGCTCTGGCTATTCTTTTGGCCCCGAGGCATGTGGGATCTCGGCTCCCTGACCATGGATAGAACCCTCACCCCCTGCATTGGAAGGGGAGTCGCAAGCACTGGACCACCAGGGAAGTCCCTAAAGCATTCTAGAATTGGGCCAGGCCAGCCTAGCTGGGTTAGAGCAGATGCACACCCACTAAACGCTTACAGGGAATCCTTTTACTACTGGAAAGCCTCTCCTAGAAGCGATCAGCCAGACCGAAAGGCAGTGGGAGCAGCTGGGTCAAGGGCCTGTGCCTGCGGCTTGTGCTTTGGGGTGACCCAGTAATGCCCCATACCCTGAGTCAGTCAGAGGCTGGCACCAGGACTGCCCACCCAGGCCACTCCCACTGACCTTCCCCTGGTCCCAGCCAGCCTCACGATAACTCAAACTTGAGAAAACGTAAAGGTTTAGAGAAACTTATATACTTTACAGAAGCAGACTTACTTTTCTAATTATGTGTTCAAAATTAAAGGACCAACGCAGGAGACCTGGGTTCAATCCCTGGGTCAGGAAGATCCCCTGGAGGAGGAAATGGCAACCCACTCCAGTATTCTTGCCTGGGAAATCCCATAGACAGAGGAGGCTGGTGCGCTACACTCCATGGGATCACGAAAGTCAGACACGACTTAGTGACTAAACAACAACAATGTAAATATGCATTAAAATAGGGAAAAAAAAGCCAAAAAAAGAGAAATGATGCATTTTTCTCTTTTGTGTACCTCTATGCTTTCCAGATTTTTATGATTAGCAAAAATTACTCATTAACATAGAAATCATTACATTGAAATATTTACTGACTTGTATTTTATTTTCAAGAAATGAAACAACACATTAAGATTTTTCACAGTCCTATTTTCAGGAATTTGGTCAGTTTTTCCCTTGAGCCAAAACTAATGACATATCTATGGCATGACAAATACTAGTACTTTAAAACAGGGATAGCTAGACACTCCAGTCTAGAAACAGGTGAAATTCATTCAGTTCTCATGACCGAAAAGATGGAAAACAAAGACACCAAACAGAAGTGAAATCCTAAGATTAAAAACTACTGTACATTTCCTCTTTGTATACATATATGCCTTTGTATTAGATATGTGAAAATAAATCTTTCCCTGGACTCCCTAAAAATAATGTGTTCAACATTTTATTCATATATAGTTTATACTAAATTTACTTTTAAAAACAAAGCCACCGTGCTATCATCACACCTAAAACCTATCAGTTATTTCTTATAAAATATTTGGTCTGTGTTCCATTTTTTTCTAATTGTCTCATAAATCTATATTGTTTGTATGACTTACATTTGATTTAAATGGATGCTAACAGATTCAAGCAGCTATTTGTAATCATGGTCTGGGCACACACTGGCCAGGGCAGATTCAGGAACCAGTGGCTGACCCAGCCTCCCGAGCCTCATCTTGGGTGAACTTGTACCCCAGTGAATGGGCCATTTGAAATTATTTTGTCTGACCATCTCCTGCCCTATTCAAAAAGTGATACCAAATACTGCATTCCCATCGCTTCAGTGATCACAGGCAAGGACCTGGCAGGGACAATTTAATATTACATTTTACTCAAGCCAACTGATCTGTAGGCAAAGAGGACTTGTTCCCCCACCGCTGCCCCACCCCAGCAGAGAATCTCTGCCTACTCTTTATCCAGTCAGGCTTTAGGCTTAAGGAGTTTCACATTCAACTTCAAGTCCACAACCATTTTAGACGTTGCAAACCAAAGTGTGGTATTTTCTGGCAAAGGTTTCTACAGTCACAGGGAAAGAAAGGAATTGGTCTGGACTGAGTAGTGCATAAAATGTGAGCTAGGGTGAGCTGGCTCCAGCCGAAGGTTGCATAACCGTAAAAGCTGCTTTTCAACCCAAACTAGCAAAAATAGTGACTGCAGAGCAGAATTCCAAGGGCAATTTCAGGATACCAGGATGTACCGATGCAAAATATACTGTATAACTCCAATCAAAAAACAATGGTGCTTCCAAAACAATTAAATGCCAGCAGAACCATAGACAACAGATGGAGAAACATAACGATCAGTTCAGTAGTTCAGTCCATCAGTGGTGTGTCTGACTCTGTGACCCCAGGGACTGCAGCATGCCAGGCTTCCCTGTTTATCATCAACTCCTGGAACTTGCTCAAACTCATGTCCATCTAGTCGGTGATGCCATCCAACCATCTCATCCTCTGTCCTCTGCTCTCCTCCTGCCTTCAATCTTTCCCAGCAATGCACACATACGAAGTCTGGCCCTGTAGTTGTGGGTCTACACAACAGCGTGGGCTCAGAACAGGCACACATTCAGAAAAGCGCAGCAGCACAAGGACCCCCATGTGCTGTCCAAAAACCCATTTGCTTCATCTCCTCCCCTCCAATCAGATCAAAAGCATAACAGTTGTGGGGTTTTGAGACGTTTGGAAAACGTTTGATACCCAGAAATATCCGTTGTAAAACTTAGGCACGTCTTGCAGGATTTAAGCTCACGTTGGTATACGAAACGCATCTAGGACTGCAGATGGGCGAGGAGGACTCTTCGATTTTTGCAAAAGGCTCAGCTTGGGTGGCACCCCGCCTCACCAGCGGAAAATCCTGGGTGAACGCTGCGCGCGCGCGTTGGAAGCAATCAGCGGCCCTGCGCCACCTCCCAGACCGACACGTTGACATGGGGGCTGGACCAGGCGCTGCCCGGGGATGTTCGGTTTGCCCGCTGCTCGGGGCTTTTCAGCAGCGCTGGAGCCGTTCTGGTGGGGATTCTAAGGGGTCGGGCCAGCTGCCACTGTTCCAGGGGCTCCGAGGTGGGTGGAGAGAGGAAGATAAGGGGACCCTCCTAGGAGGGGGGGCAGGTGCACGGGGCAGGGAGTGACTCCAGAGCCGGAAGGAAGACCTGCAGGATGACGGGGGCTGGGGGACCCGGGGTAAAGTCGGGGCACAAATCGGGATGCCGCCCACCCAGAGTCACTCACCATCCTCTAGGGCTTCATGCATCAGCAGAAGACCCAGCAGCAACCAAATCTTCATCTTCTGGGCGAGGGGTCGGGGCCAAGGCGCTGGAGACCGCGGGTCGGAGGCGCGCGGACAGCGCAGGACGAGGGCAGGGGCGCCAGGGGAGGCGGCGGGCGAGGGGCGGGCGCCTGGGACGCCGCAGCTGGAGGATTCGGTTTCAGGAGGAAGAACACAGATTTTAGGGAAAAGTTTGGGGATCTTTTTTTTTTTTTCAATTCTCTATCAGTGTAATGTGACCTCTCCTGCCCCCTGGTGGAGCCGTGAAGCGCTGCACTTTTTCCCGAGGCTGAGAGCGAAATGTCAATTACAACAGTCGCTCAGAGATTTCCCGCTCCCAGCGCGTTTTACCAAGTTTACCAGCTTCGAGAAGGCTCGGTGTAATCCTGCGGGGTCTCATCTAACCAGAATTGTCCAGATGTCACCAGAGCTCTCCCACCAGCTCGTACGGCCGTGATGCTCTGTAAAAAGTGCCCCCTGCATTTATTTCTTCATTCCCAGCAGGTCACCTGCGCTCACCAAGACCATCGCCCTTGTTAGTCCCAACTCCGCACCCAGCCCTGAACCTGCTGGACACGAGCCTCCCTTGCAGCTGAGACCTTGCAGCCCCCTGGGGCTCCCAGGGGGGAGGCTGCTCTGCCTTCAGAGGGTCCCACGGCAGGCCAGCTGCTTCCCTGGGGTTCTGCTGGAGGATTTGGAGCAACTTCTCCTTCCTCTCTTAGGCAGCAGAAGCCCCACTGCCCTACAGAAGACTCAACTAGGTGTTCAGGAGGAACTGTGCCAGAAAAGAGATCCAAGTAACAGCACCAGGGCCTCTGTCGGGACTCGGAGAAGTCAACCACTGGGTTATCACTCTGGGCTGAAGCCTGGGGTTCCGGCTACACCTCCCTCCCTCACTCCAAATGCCCTGCCAGGCCCTGCTTCATCGCCCTACTGACTGCATCAAGGCTGCCCCTCTTGGCCATCATCCCTCCTTCTCTGCTCCGGCTCACAGAGTTACCATCTGTCACCAGCAAGTGGCCACAGCCTCCTAGCTGGTCTCCCTGCCTCTCTGTCTTGCCCCTCAGTCCATACTTTCTCTAGCTATTAGACTGATCTCCAAACACAATTCTAAAAAAAAAACACTAACCTAACTAAACCCCTCCGAAGGCTCTCCAGACCTCTCATGCCTGGTCAGGCCTCTCCAGTTTCCTCTCTTGGCACCCACTGTTCCCTGGCCTGCTTGCCACGCAAACAGCGTGCTCCCAGCGCCCTCGGGCCAGCCGGCATGGTGAGGTGGGAGGGGGGCACCAAGGCTTCTGCTGCCCCCTTGGCCCCCCAAAGCCGCCTTCCTTGTTCCACCACCTGCCGGCCTCTCACCACTCATCCTACAAGGCTCAGCTCAGACCCTACCTGCTCCTGGCTGGGCCAAGCACGTCCCCAGTGTGAATCCTTTGTGATATCATAACAGCCAAGACAAAACGCATGACTGAGCTGTGAATCCGGCTTCACCTCTTTCACCTGCTTTTGCCTGAGTTCAAGGGCAGGAAATATGTCTTACTGAATTTTGTACTCTACCATCAGTTTCTGGAAAATCGTATTTATTAGGAGCGTACCACGCTCCACACAGAGCATAAAACCCTCACCACACATTTCTTGTTGCTCGTATCAACAACAACCCAACCAGGGAGGCTGCATGGTTAGTATCAGCCCCATTTTACAGACAAGGCAGCCCAAAGTCAAACTTGAACCTGTACTCTACCAGTTAGTTACAATGTACTGTTGAAATCACTACCTGCGAAAGCTTTCCAGTAGGGCTGGCCCGCCCCCAAGGTCTCCCCTCTCAAGCTCGGAAAATTGGAGGCAAGAACTCTGTGACTTCCCTGATAGGCTTGATAGCAGACAGCTAAGGTGATGGGGAGGCAACAGATAAGACAGAATTGCAACCCATTCCATGAAGAGAGGGAAAACATGGTCTGTTGGTCTGTTGTGATCCACACAGTCAAGGGCTTTGGTGTAGTTGATGAAGCAGAAGTAGACGCTTTTTCTGGAATTCTCTTGCTTTTTCTATGATCCAATGGATGTTGACAATTTGATCTCTGGGTCCTCTGCCTTTTCTAAATCCAGCTTGAACATCTGTAAGTTCTTGGTTCGGTTCACGTACTGTTGAAGACTAGCTTGGAGAATTTTCAGCACTATTTTGCTAGCATGTGAAATGAGTGCAACTCTGCGGTAGTTTGAACATTCTTTGGCATTGCCTTTCCTTGGGATTGGAATGAAAACTGACCACTTCTAATCCTGTGGCCATTGCTGAGTTTTCCAAACTTCCTGGCAACATATCTTCTGCTTATCTTAGGTCCATACCGTTTCTGTCCTTTATTGTACCCGTCTTTGCATGAAATGTTCCCTTGGTATCTCTAATTTTCTTGAAGAGATCTCTAGTCTTTCCCATTCTATCGTTTTCCTCTATTTCTTTGCATTGATCACCGAGGAAGGCTTTCTTATCTCTCCTTGCTAGTCTTTGGGACTCTGCATTCAGATGGGTATATCTTTCCTCTTCTTCTCTGCCTTTCACTTCTCTTCTTTCTCAGCTATTTGTAAGGCCTCCTCAGACAACCATTTTGCCTTGTTGCATTTCTTTTTCTTGGGGATAGTTTTGATCACTGCCTCCTGTACAATGTCACGAACCTCTGTCCATAGTTCTTCAGGCACTCTAACAGATCTAATCCCTTGAATCTATTTCTCACTTCCACTGTATAATCATAAGGGGTTTGATTTAGGTCATACCTGAATGGTCTAGTGGTTTTCCCTACTTTCTTCAGTTTAAGTCTAAACTTAGCAATAAGGAGTTCATGATCTGAGCCACAGTCAGCTCCCGGTCTTGTTTTTGCTGACTGTACAGAGCTTCTCCATCTTTGGCTGCAAAGAATATAATCAATCTGATTTCTGAATTGACCATCTGGTGATGTCCACGTGTAGAGTTTTCTCTTGTGTCGTTGGAAAAGGGTGTTTGCTATGACCAGTGCGTTCTCTTGGCAAAACTCTGTTAGCCTTTGCCCTGCTTCATTCTGTACTCCAAGGTCAAACTTGCCTGTTATTCCAGATATCTCTTGACTTCCTACTTTTGTATTCCAACCCCCTATGATGAAAAGGACATCTTTTTTTGGTGTTAGTTCTAGGTCTTATAGGTCCTCATAGAACCATTCAAGTTGAGCTTCTTCGGCATTAGCAGTTGGGGCATAGACCTGGATTCCTGTGATGTTGAATGGTTTGCCTTGGAAATGAGCAGAGATCATTCTGTCATTTTTGAGATTGCATCCAAATACTGCATTTTGGACTCTTTTGTTGACTACGAGGGCTACCCCATTTCTTCTAAGGGATTCTTGTCCACAATAGTAGATATAATGGTCATCTGAGTTAAATTCACCATTCCAGTCCATTTTAAAATGTCAGTGTTCACTCTTGCCATCTCCTTTTTGACCAGGTCCAATTTACCTTGATTCACAGACCTAACATTTCAGGTTCCAATGCAGTATTGTTCTTTACAGCATTGGACTTATCTTCCATCAACAGTCACATCCACAACTGGGCATTGTTTTTGGTTTGGCTCCATCTCTTTATTCTTTCTGGAGTTATTTTTCCACTCTTCTCCAGTAGCATATTGGGCACCTACCAACCTGGGGAGTTCATCTCTGTGTCCTATCTTTTTGGCTTTTCATACTGTTCATGGGGTTCTCAAGGCAAGAATATTCAAGTGGTTTGCCATTCCCTTCTCCAGTGGACCACATTTTGTCAGACCTCTCCACCATGACCCATCTTGGATGGCCCTACACGGCAGAGCTAATAGTTTCATTGAGTTATACAAGACGGTGGTCCATGTGATCAGTTTGGCTAGTTTTCTGTGATTGTGGTTTTCATTCTGTCTGTCCTCTGATGGATGAGGATAAGAGGCTTGTGGAAGTTTCCTGACTGATTTATAGTATATTTTGTTATTTGTCTGGGCAAGGGATGCCCCCATCATTGATTTCATGTTAACTATGATTGTATATTTTCTCTTCCAGATGAAGTTTCAAATCACCTTGTCAACTTCCATAAAAACTTTGTGTTGTGAGCATGACTGTATAGAGTTTTTATTTGGAAGAAGAATGCTCATATTTACAATATTAAATCATCCTATCCCAGAATGTGTCATAATGTTAACTATCATTCCATTTGCTCAAGTCTATTTCTATGTTCCCATTATATAATTGTTTAATGGTGGTATTAGGACAACAATTTTGGAACTCTGTAATCCCAAGCCTAAACCAACATCACTGGTATTCTTATTTGTAATAAGTGGAAGCTTGGACATAGACACAGACACATTTACACACAGAGGGATGATCACGTGAAGAATCAGCGAGAAGACGGCCATCTACAAGCTGAGGGTCTGGACCTCAGAAGACGCCAACCCTGCTGACCTTCCCTTCACACGATTCCACTGTGCCAGCACAGAAGTGGGGGGCCTCAAAACCTACTTACCAATGCTAATCAAGACAACAATAAATAACAGATAAATTAGGTTTTAGGCTTCTATTTGGAAAATACTTTGCTGTTTTAGCTTGGTTTTTAATGCAGGCTAAATTCATACTCAAGTTTAATTCAACATGGGGGTGTTCCCTTCCATTTATGAAAAAAAGGAAAAAAAAACCCAACAGGAATTAAGTCTATACACAATGGCATCTCAAAATTAAAGAAGATAATTTAGGAGATTTTCAATTTTAACTAACTTGGAACCATGTCAGAAAACTGACTCCTCCCTCCCCATCAAAGGGTAAAGAGGGCTGCTGCAGTTTGATAAATGTTTATTCACTATACAGTACAAAATTTCCGTTAGTTATAGATCACTGATCACCAGTTCCCGAAAGCTATGATTTGGTCAGGAGCATAACAAGGAGTTTCTTGCCAGCAAAAGCAATGGCAAAGACACTGGTCCATTAAATAAATGGCAGTTGGACTGGCAGGACCTCAGATGTGTGGTCCTGGGGTGGCATGCTTCA